GGCGGGTACCACCGGCAGCAGCTGCTGCACCTGCTCCGGCGGCACCTGCGGCGTCTCGGGGCTGCAGCCGCCGACCAGGGAGCAGCTGCTGGACGCCAGGTCAGCCGCTGACGACGCCATGGCTACGGATCTGACAGGGGCGCGGCCCCCTGGCGCGAATGCCGGGCCGTCGGCGCCGCCGCCGCGACGAGCGGGGGGCCGAGAAAAGGGAGCGAAAGGGCACGCGGGGCGCGGCAGGCGGCGCACGAGCGCGCGGCCGCGCGCGAGCATCCGGTAGGCGGAGGTGTGCGTTTGGGCTGCCTGGGGTGCGCCTGCGAGACGAAAGCAGTGTCGAGTGCGGCGTGTGGGGTGCTGCAGGGCTTGATGACTGCGCATGCAGCACAACAAAGTCGAACGTGACGTGGATAACAGGCAAGGGCACCATAACGCAGGAGGCGGGCGCGAGCCGCGAAGCTTGACCCCTGCAGGGGGTCATGCCCCCTACTGTAGGGTTTGGTAATTCGCGCACAGCAACCACCTGCGTTCAGTGTTGTCCTCGCTTGCCGAAATGCTGCCACTACGACCCCTGAATGGCTAGACAGACTGCTTCAGGCTTGTGCCTGCAGAGGGAGAGGGAGGCAGGGAGAATGACGTTGGGGACGAGGGCGGCCTGGATCCTGCAGCAGAGGGGAAACGTCAGCCAGCACGCTCGACATTTATTCTGCGTGTATTCGTCGTCTGCGACGACATGGTCTACAAAACATGCCTACAAGCCACATAAGAGGCTGAACAGCGATATAACGATCTGGTTCTGATCACGGGATACGCGCCTCGCACCTCTGAAGGCGTAGTATATGAGTGATCATCGCAGGAGGGACTTTTCTGTGCCGCCCTATTCCCAACCTGGGCGTTGGACAAGAAGCTGCCAGGTCAGCCACCCTGGCAGCGCATATATGGTGGCGTGACTGGGACGTGATATCTAGGCGTGATCCTGATGATTGATCTGCAGCAACACCACAATCACTCGCGGCCTTGCGCGATTCGCCCCCGCCGCGCTTTGTGCTTTGAAAATCACCCCAATCACGGCGTTCCAGTGCGTTAATCGATTACGAGAATTTCATTGAATCCTTTGTGCTTGTTAGACGCTCCTGTCCGCGGCCTCGACGTCATCAAAATCCAATCATCTTTGCAGGGGAGCCACAGCCCGGTTTCTCGCACCTAAGGAGGCGCAGCGATGGTGGAAATCAAGGGCCTACGTGGGCCAGCCGGGGAGTTCGGCGCGGTGGGCCGCGTGGAGGTGCCTGCCAACAGCGCGAGGTGAGCAGCGACGCTGCTTGGCGTCCACATGCTATCAACAGCGGCTGCATGCAACTGTGTCCCTTGGGGCCGGCATGGAAACCTTCAGCTTGTGGCGAGCAAAATCGGCAGCAGTGCAGGGGCTTTGCGGCTGGCATGGTGGCTGGACAACCCTGTTGGCTACTTGGCTGCGTTTGCGAACCCTTGCTGCACCCAGTCTGCCCCATCACATGCATCGCTGTGCCCAATGCTCTCGCCACGCCCAGGGACGTGTACGACTTTGTATGCGATGTGGAGCAGCAGCCCGGCTGGAACTCTGGTGTAAAGCAGTCCAAGGTGCTGGATGCCAAGGGGAATCACAAAACCCTGCACCAGGTGCGGACGACACTGTCGCGTCGAATTGACGCCTGTTGTGATGCAAACTGCGGCGGCCACAGCCCCAAGACGTATTTTTGGCGGCGCCTGCAGCAGCAGTGGGCATACACACGTGCCGCGCCAGCGTGGGCATGCGAGCATGCAATCCCGCCGCCTTGTCGCACGGCACGCCAACCCGCTGCCCTCATGCGGAGCTCTCGCGCCCACCTCGCCGCGCCCAGGTTCTCCAATGGAACTTTTTGACACTGAAAGGGGACATGCACTTTATTCTCGACCAGACAGAGGACCCCTCGGCGCTGGAGATTCGCACTGAGCTGCAGCGCGGCACCATGATGCGGCGGTTCCGGTCGAGGTGCGTGGAGGGTACGCCACGATAACCCCCGCGTACCTGCGTGCACCGCAGGCGGCGCTGTACTCCTTTGAAGGGTTTCATGCAGGTACGGCCAGCGCACTCCACGCACCCTCACCAGCCGCGGGCGCACTTGCCACCGCCCATGCTGACAGAGCGCTCTCCACGCCCGCATGCACGCCTGACCCAGGGTGACTGTGTCGGCCACAACCACCCCTGGGCTGTGCGAGGTCGAGATGGAGATGTTCATGCAGCCCGCCATCTTTGTGCCGCCCGTCATCCGAAGCGTCGTCGGCATGCAGGTCAGCGCGTGCGCCTGTGTGGGTCCGCGCAGCTCCCATACTCCGCGACAAGCCAGGCCGCTGTGATGCCGCTTTTCTGAAATTCCAGGTTACTAGCCCCCCTACTTATGCCCACGCTTGGCCCTTTACGCCAACTCCCGACAACCCAACCCCAACTTGCCGGATCGTTCGTCGTTGCCCTTGCATGCGTACTCCCCGCCCGGCAGGTCCGCAATCAGCTGGGGTCCGTACTGGACGCGCTGCAGCGGTGCTTGCAGCAGCGGCACCAGCTCAGCGCCGGCGCGGCCGCAGCGGCGGCGGCGGCCGCATGGCTTTCGCACCCGCTGCACGATCTGGTCAGCGACGATCTGGATGATCTGAGCAGCGATGACCTGGCGGTGGACATTGAGGACTCTGATCGTTGGGACTCGCCGCGCGCCGCGACCTCGGCACTCCGGCGGCACCTGAAGCCGCTGCAGGCGGCGGCGGGGGCGTGCGAGCGGCGTCGCGCGGAGCCGGCCGGCGCCGCGGCGCGCGATGGGGCCACGGGCAAAGGGCAGCTGGCCGCGGGCTGGGTGTCGGAGCGGTGGCTGACGCGGGGGCTGCTGGGGCGGTCGTCCTGGCTGCCGCTGCTGTGCGCAGTGGTCGCCCTCTGCTGGTCGCTCTCTCTTTACCACGCCCGCTCCCTGCTGCAATTCTGAGCGCCATGCAATGTTTCGTGTGCGCGCCCGCTCCGGCAGTCCTGTTCTCATCTGGTCCCCGTGCTGAGCGCCGCCCTCTGCCTTGCCCGGGGCTGCAACGTGGTCTCAATTCCTCCCTCAGCTGCCGCTCGGCGCTGGGATTGTCGCGTCTGTCTCAATGTCTCGCGCTCTCGTGACGAGTTGTAGACCAGGGTGTGCGTTAGGGGCGCCTCTACGGCAGCCCCGGCAAGCCTGGCGGGTGTTGCGCGGTCGCGCCCCAATTGTGCGCGGGTGTGTGCTATTATTTGTTTGCCACTGCAATCGTCGCCGCCAGCACGCCCAGCCGCGCCGACTTGACCCCCAACCCTCTGTCATCGCTGACCATTCCTGGTACTGTTCGGGCCCGGCACTGTCTTGCACTGTACGATGGCGGGTTCAGGCTCAGGCGCTCCACTCCTCGGCGCACAGCCCTGGTCTTCAAACCGGTTCTAGATTCCGACCTGGCGGGTTGACCCTGCAGGGCGCCTCCGGGCTCGTCGTGGTTGTCATTGATTTACAGCGCTCCGCAATCTGGATGTTTTTTGATGGGCTACACCTCTCTTGAGGGCCACAGGGCGGCATTTGCGCGGCCCCGCCTCGCCGCTGCGCCCGCAGCTGGGGCCTGTGTTGGGTACTGACCTTCCGGCTGTCATTGTGTGCACTTTCGCCAGAGAGTGGCGACTGCAGAGAGCGCCAAGCCAAGTCGATGCTGCTTGGGAGCGCTGCAAAGCTTCCCGCCCACCCGTGCTTCGAGTGAGAGTCAGGTGCATGGACCCATGTGCGTGGACGGCGTGCCGATCGGCAGCCGCTGCACAGCACCTGCATGCGATGCACACCGATCAGCGTGTGCGACTTATTGATGCGTGAGGCTTGCGCCGCCGTGCGCCGCCCTTGCAATAATCATGTGACCGCAGCTGGCTTGCCTATATTTGGGAGCCCCCAGGCCTCATGCCTGCCATGCAAATGGCGAACCTAATTGCTGATTGTTGGAGTCATCCCCAAGCGCATGCTGCGTTGTAACATTTCCCGTTGGCCCACTTGCACCGAATCAAACAAACCTGAGTTCCTTCCACGCAGCCCCTTGCTCAATTGTGCTTTAGTACATGTGCTCTGCAAGCTCTCCATTTACAATATCATTATGTATGTGCGCTTTTCAAAGATGGGAGGTTTCACGCGCCGGGCCCGCGTGCTTGGTGCACGCAGTCAACCTTCCAGAGTTGGCCATCAACTGCCTCCACCCCCAAACCTGGCCAGCCTTCTAGCAAGTTGGGGACGTAAGCCAAGCTATTGAATCAAGCCAGAACATGTCGTAAACGCGCCCAAGTTGCCCTCAAGCTTTGGCCATGAGCCAACTAGACAAGCGCATGGCAGACAAACCTCTGTCTCACCAATGACGACACCTGGCACGGGATGCGCTCAAGGGTTCACGCGCTTGCATGCGTTGCGAGGCGCTCTCCGGTTGCCTGACATGCTTGTTCGTTGAAAACGCCTGCACGTGCGGCCAGTCCAATTCGCGCTTTGTCTTTGCTTTTAGGCGTTGCTTGGCTGTGATCATGTCGACCAAGGCAACCCCCGAGGAGACGAAGGGGAAAACAAATAAAAGCACCCTCAACCGCCAGCGCACGCCCCCGCTTCGTTACCCTGCCGCGTGTTGCACCGCCGTCACACCCACAATGACACTGCATGGGCACTCCTGCCCTACACTTGCGACGCGGCAACTCATTATTTGGCAGGAGGCTGCGGTTACGCTGGCACACGTGGCGGCGACTGTTGGGAGCGTGCGACACTGACAGCGCTGGCCCCCAAAACAGCTCGCACGTTCTCCATCCCCAGAACCAGCCATGAATATGGGGAGCGGAACATGGCCAGTGACGCACAGCCCCGGATAGGAGCATCAAGGGTCATGCCACAGTACTAGCGGAATGGGCTCGACGACACAGGCGCCATGCTGCGCCGCGCTCGGGTGGCGCGGGCTGCCTGCTCCTGCGCCCGGACAGTCACAGCCAGCAGGTCACCATGCCTGGTCTTCGCCCTCGCGCATAATTACAGTAAACAAAGGTACGACAGTCACGTGCAAAGCAGCAATCCGCCAATGATCTCTAGATCGTATTCAAAAATCTAGAGAGGAAGATAAGACTTCGTCAGCATCCTTAGTGTTGGCATTGCCTGGTATTATACCATCTGGAGACAGGATTCAAAAGGCACAGTACCGATAGCAAGACCAGCAGCGCACGGTAGCAATGGACGAGGACCTATTTGACATGTCGGATTTGGGATTACCCGGCAGGATGCTGGGCAGCCAACCAGGAGAAGACGGTGCGCCTGCGGCCGGGTCGCGTCGCTTGTCGATGCGGGTTGCTGAGGCAGCGCTCTGCTTTGCGCGCCCTAGCCGAAACATCCCGCTGCGCTGACTGTCCTTGCTGCCTGCGGCGAATCCGTGCCTGCAGCATGCGGCCCCTGACGCCTCTGCCTTGCCATGCAGGCTGGGACGACGCCAGCGACAGCGACGGTTTGAGCGGCGACTCTGACGAACGGCGGCGGCGGAAGCGCAAGCCGGCCGCCACCAAGCGCAAGGCAGCGCGCAAGCAGCAGGTGCGGCGTTGCGCGGCGCGCCCCCCTCTCAGCAGCATGGGGGGCGCCTGGGGAGCGTGCAGCGTCGCGCTCGCGAGGTTTGCGTTGGGCGGCGGTCGGCAGGCGCCGCTCGATGCGCTCCGTCCGGGTGTGAGCTGCGATGCCTGGGCCCGGCTGCGCGGCTGGGCCGCCGCGGGGGCGCAATGCCTGCCGCGTGCCCCTGGAGACGCCCATGCGACGCTCCTCCCTCAGACGCAACCCGGCGCTGAGTATTCCCCCACATCCCCTTACACCTGCTGCACTCTTGATGACCACGTGTGAACCCCAACACAACAGCAACAGCAGCCCACGGACGCGGGCGCACCGGCAGGCGCGGACGAATTTGCAGGGGCTGCGGCAGACGCAGGGTCGCGGGAGCAGGCGGATGACGAGGACAGCGATGAGATCCAGATCATCGAGCTAGATCTGGATCTGCCCCAGCTGGCGGCCAAGCGCGCCAAACTCGCAGCCGAAGAGCAGCAGCGGCCGGGGAGCGGCGCGGCCGCGCGGGGCCGCAGGCGCGGCAAGGCGCGCGGCGGCAGGGGGCCGCGGCGGGGGCGGCGCGCGCGAGCGGAGGGGGGCGAGGGGGGGCAGGAGGAGGAGGAGGCGGGGACGACCGGGTCAGAGCGGCCGTCGCCTGCTGCGGCCGCAGACCGCGGCTGCCGGGCGGTGCTGGAAGAATCGCGGCGGCTCAGAGCGCAGCTCGAGGAGGCGCTGCGGCGGCAGCAGGACCCCGAGACAGGTGCGCACGTGCACACAGGCGCCACGCGCGACACGTGCATGCGCATGGGCGGCGCCGCGCTCAGGCGCGCTCCGCGAGAGCTTTGGCCGGGCTCGCTGGCTGGGGTGACGCCGTCACGCGCCGGCGACGTCACGGGAGCGCCTGGCTCCCATACGGCGGAGCGCGGCCGCGATGGACGGCTCCGGCTGTCTGCAGCTGCGGGTGTGGTTGCAGCCCTCGTTCCAGCATGCCGCTGAGGCCCTTTGAAGCAACCCCTGCTGGCTTGCCTCGGCCCTTCTTTCCCCTCTGCCCCTTGCTTGCCATGACCCCCTGATCCCCTCTGGGGCCCTCCTGCCTTCTGATCCCCACCCCCTTGCAGCCAGCAAGGAGCCCACGCCAGAGCCACTGGCCCCGCGCGGCTCCACGCGCGGCATCCTCTTCTCGGCCGCCCCTTTGCCTTCCGCCGCCGCCGCCGCCGCAGCCAAGGCCGCGCTGGAAGCCGAAAAGGCAGCGGCGGCGCGGGCC